CAAGTAATAATTCAACAAAAATTTCGAATAGAAATAAAACAGAGCTCTCTCCTCAAACTATATTCAACGTGATATAAACTATAAACAAGATCAAGATTCTGTAATGGGCCAGTAATTAGGAAGATTCAACACAGTTGGACAAAGGTACCATTTCAATGAGCTCCTTTTAAATTCTGTTGTGACCAGTATAGAAAGGTCATTGGGTAGTGACGGTAAAGGTGATCTTTGTGTGATTCAGTGATAGAAAAAAACTTTATGAAATCTAACCATGTGCAGAAAGAAGCTACATAATTCATTTTGTACTAGATTCTTCACAAAAACTATAAGTTCAAACATAAAGCCTCCAGAGTCAAGGGGTTTAGAAGAAATGAGATGAATTCATTAAGGTAAATCTGGTTACCAGCAGATGACGGATCAGCATAATTAATGTTCTTTTGGGAATAAGAGGAAATATTTGAATCAGAAAAAGTACACTGTCTTGTACATGTACCTGATTTAAAAGGAAGATGTAAGATATTATTTGGTTTCTAGATATGAACTTGATAAATGTTAATATTGCTGTTAGGCTGTTCCTAAGAGATGATATGGACCTCTTTGAGAATTTGGAATAGTAATCCAGAGTGATGCCATTAAAAAGCCTTTATCAATATATCATGAGATTGGCTGCAACGTGTCCAAGTTGCCTGCATTGGGTATGTTAGAGTCTTGGGTCCTTCTGTTCGGTGGGTGTAATGAAGAAGGAAGCAATAAGGGAAGGAAAGGTCAACCCGGTAAGCAAAATACTGCGTGGAAAGAGTATGACAAGGAGAAGCAGATAATAATAGTCCAGGAAAGTAGTTCATATAGAGGAGGAGTTTTAATAGTAAATAGTTGGGGGGAGGGTATCTGTCTAATAGATGGACATGAACAATCTAGGAGCAGTCAATATACGGAATGTAGAGAGACAGGCAGGTGGGCATCAGGAGATCCCTTCGGCAGGTAGCAGAGCTCCAATCACGGGACACCCCCACACACACACACAACACACACACACCCGCCCCCGCCAGAAAAGTATTGCGATGGATATTGCAGACTGGCTTGTTCAAAACCAATTCCCACCTCTTTCTAGTGTGGCTTCCTATACTGCAGAGGCTGGTGAGCTAAAATCCACATTTCCCACATTTCTGGATGTGATTTTTGTTCTGCCAACCAGATGCCTTTACATAAGACCAGAATCCAGAACTGAAATAAGAGTGGAGGGAATGTGGCATGAGGCTCCTATTTTTGCCGGTGCAGATTGAAGTGGAAGTGATTTGATCTTGAGCTAGCAGCTGTCATCATGACTTCTTGCTTCATCAGGCAGCTTCCTGATTATGGCCAGGGCAACAGCAGTTCTGCATCATGACTTAAGAGTTTTTTATCTGGAAGATCAGACTAAATTCTCTTCAGTTTATAAACAGTTTTATAAGCCATGTAATATCCTGTAAAACAGATTCCTTTCTGCTGACACAATCTGGAGTAGGTTTTGTTCTCCATAATTGAACCCTCGCAGGGTATTTACTGGCTACTGTGATCGTAAGCAACAGACTCTCAAAGAAATGAGACTTTAAGATTGGTTAGCTCACCAGTTTGAAATAAAGGCAGCTAAGATTCCACTAGTATCATAAGATAGACATGGGCGCACACTGGTGATGTATTAACTTAAATCATCACCTGGGGTTGTATAGAACAGGAGACCTATCAATGACAAGGTTTTGGTGGCTTCAGTGATGCTGGTCATTACGGGAGGAAAAAGGATGTAAGGACTGTTGTGGGGATGTGGGGTGGATTTTTCTATCTGTTCCATAGAATGTAAAGGAAAAATGATAAAATGAGATTTAAAGTGTTCTGATTAAGGTATGGTCAGAGAATCAGAGAACTTCCATGGCTGCCTGTAGGATTCTCCTCTGTCTTGTAGCTGTTGAACTGACAGAGCCAGAAGATAGAAACAGAGGCAGATCCTTTGAGTTTCTGAACCACAATGTAGGGGGAATTCATAAACTTTGCATCTCTCATGTGGACAAGAGGGTATTTTGGGGAAAGAATGGGACCAGAAAACAAATAGGGAATTTGGTAGATTCTTATGTCTCCCGAGTACCTTAAAAGCCCACATTCCACCCAGTATTCCTTGAAAGCAGAAGCAAACTTGCTTCCTGTTTCATGAGGCTGCTCCTTTCTTGCCAGAAGGCTCTGTGATGTCTTCACCTGAGGGAGTTCAGTCAGCAGGAATGCCAGCCCTCCCCGAGCCCTACACCCCAGCATTACCTTCAGATCCATAGCCAGAATCAAAGCCCAGCCTGCTGGTGTGGTGGCAAACACAGTCAAAGCTGGAGGGAAAGGTTTATACAACAGAAAGAACCACAAGATTTTGCTCATTTGCGATGGCAAAAACCTGCAATATGTGTGGGAATGGATTCTAAGGGTGTCAGACCAAGAAGCTTAATTTTAGATCTGGTTGATTATTTTGCATTGGGTGCACTTGCCAGATATTCTAAGTTTAATATGCTCACTTGAGCAGCTCAGAATGTTTGGTAGAAATGTGGGTATGGTAGCCAATAGCTATCATACCCATAGCCATACCAACAGCCATAGCCAATGCTTAAGCTATGATGCCAGAAATTTCGTGGGATAATGTAGAGAAATGGATGTCAAGATAAGGAAATACTGGGGTTTCTTTATGATGTGAAAAATCACTCATCTACACCTAGTCATGTCTCCTAAGAGAGACTAAAGGACCTTCCTTCAGTGAGGTACTACCTTCATCAAGAAATACCTTACAGGGAGATCAGCTAGGTGGTTGGTGACCACCTAGAGGGGTGGGATAGGGAGGATGGGAGGGAGGGAGACGCAAGAGGGAAGAGATATGGGAACATATGTATATGTATAACTGATTCACTTTGTTATAAAGCAGAAACTAACACACCATTGTAAAGCAATTATACTCCAATAAAGATATTGAAAAAAAAATACCTTGATACTATATAGAATAGTTCGACTCTGCTAATCCCAAACTCCCATTCCTTCCCTTCCCTCCCCCTCCCCCTTGGCAACCACAAGTCTGTTCTCTATATCTGTGAGTCTGTTTTTGTTTTGTAGATATGTTGATTTATATCGTATTTTAGATTCCACAAATAAGTGATAGCATATGGTATTTGTCTTTCTCTTTCTGACATACTTTGCTTCATATGATAATCTCTAGCTCCATCCACGTTGCTGCAAATGATGGATAAACGACAAGGTCCTGCTGTAGAGCACAGGGAACTATATTCAATATCTCGTGACAAGCCATAATGGAAAAGAATATGAAAAAGAATATATATATGTATAACTGAGTCACTTTGCTGTACAGAAGAAATTAACACAACATTGTAAATCAACTATACCTCAATAAAATAAAAAAAAATACCTTGAAAAGAGAGTGGCTGTCCTCTGATGGTAGGAGCTACTGTCAAAGAAAAGGGCTCCCTGATTTCTCTGGGGGTGATGGGGGTCCCAGGTAGCAAAGTTCAAGGGACAGCACAATGATAGGACCCAAGACAGAGGTGAAATGGGTGTGGTTACCATAACAGGCAGCAGGGCTGGACCAGTGATCACAGGTTTTGAATGTTAGGGATGTTTGACAGTGGTTAACTGTACAAGAGGTGCCTAGGGCTGAAAGAAATATGCAGATCTATTATCATCCTCCTTGATCTGCATAAACTGACACCAAAACAAAAGCTCTAGGTGACCTGAGTAACTATAATTATGAGTGACAGCCCTTTACTGGTTCATAGACCCACAGCCCGTAAGTGAATGTACCCTGTGATAGAGCCACAAGCACTGTTCATCTTCCTTGCATTCTCCTGAAAAGGACCTGCATTCATCCGTCAGGAAAATGGCTATGGCCAGGGGAGAGGAACCACCAAGATCTTTGTGGGATTATCGACATGAGCTGTAGCTAATATGCATTCCAGAGGACCCAGAAATGCCGGTGTGGTTCCCTACTCAGAGGGGACTTATTGAGGTTAGGGAGTATAAATGGAAATTTGGTTTGCGTTTACCTCTCAGTGGGTCAACGTGGGTCTCCTGCTGATTCGTTCTGTGATTACTTTCCCAGTTTCCATATGTACATGGTAGTTGCCATAATAGTTAACTTAAGCCATGCCACATACCTAGAGGGGTTGTAGAGATGAGTGTTAATATCAAACCCTTGAGAAAGGCAGGGATAATAATTCCTATTACATTCCCAAATCCCCCCCCCATCCTCATTAAGATCTCCTGTTTGACCAGTGAGAAGATTAATGGGTCTTGGGAACAATATCAATGGATTATCAGAAACTTAATGAGACGGTGATTGCAACAGAAGCTGTTCCATACGTAATTTATTTTCTGAAGCCAGGGCACACAGATCCTGACGCCTGATGTGGAATTGTCAAGTTGGCAAATTTTTGTTTGAAATTAAATACACCAAGAGACCACAGATGCACTTTCCTTTTAAGTAGCAGGGGGCAGCAGAGGACAACTGGCTATATCAACTCTCTGGCTCTGTGTGGTAATTTAGTTCAGGGATTGGCTAACTTTTCCTGTAAAGGGCCAAAGAGTAAACTTTTTAGGCTTTGTGGGCCACATATAATCTCTGTTGCATGTGCTTCTTCTTCCTTTCTTTTTTTTTTTTTTTAACAACTCGACAAAGTAAAAACCACTCTTAGCGTGCAAGCTTTACGAAAACAGGCTGCAGGGGCGGATTTGACCTGCAGGCCATAGTTTGCTGGCTCCTGATTTGGCTCATGGGCGGCGCCTTAGCCATCTCACCAGTCCACAGGATATCACGCTGCTCCATTACATTGATCGTGCTGTAATTACGAACCCAGGAAGCAGAAAGGAGTCCTGGATGTCCTGGGAAGACATACTGATGTCAAAAATGGAAGAGAAATCCTTTGAAAGTTCAGTGACCTGTTTCCAAGTCACAGAGCTAATTTCCAGAAAGTTGTTTTTAATTCTAGGTTTCAGAAACCAGGAAAACCCATCAGGAGCACTGTGCCCAAACTCTGAGATGGATGAACAGTGAGTGTGTCTTGAAGCCGGCCCCTCCAGTGTGGTGTGGCTGTCCTCAAACTCTTCCCACCAAGGGCCTTTGGAACTGAGAAGTGGCTGAGTCTACGCAAGGGTGTAAAACGGCTCCAAGTGCAAGGAGAGGAGAAGTGCCGTGGCCGGGAACCAGGGGCTTGATGAAATAGGTCCCTGCAATATTGATTGTGAGCCTCTTTCACCAGTAAGCCATTTTTATTGAGGGTATTGTCTGACGTTGGGATGGAAAGAAGTCAAAACTTGACTTTAATTTTATTCCTTAGATTCCCAGGGAAAAACAAAATCTACCTATACATAATATAAAAATAGCTATGTTCCAAGGGAATTTGAAAGAAAGAAACATTCAGAGATTGCTGAAAACCATATAGTTGTGTAGTTGTGCAAGCAGAGATGACTTTTCTTCTTTATTCATTTTAAGCACAGTTTAAATTGGTTTGTGCATAATAAAAATTTAGCCTTTCATCAATATTTGGATAAATAAACTGCGGCCTCCCTGGAATATAGGTTATCAAGGGACAATCATACTGTGGTTTACTATTTCACGCAGTGTGCTTTCTCTTTCAGAAGTAATAAAAGCCACAACTGCACGCTTTATTATAAAAAGCAGAAGAAAAACTGGGCAGTGTGTTCCTTATTTCAGAAAGACAAAGCTCATCAATGAATCACATATTAGGAATTTGACCTGAACAGTAAGAGATTTGACTTTCTGGCTGCCACGTTGGCTTAATCTCATCTGTAAGCGTGGTCGGTAGTGGTGACAGGTATTTGAACCTCTTTCTTTGATTTCATGACCTTTAGCAGAAACATATTTCACTGCATATGTGTATGTTTTCACCAAAGCCATTTTCTTAGGTATTTGAATGTGCATTTGTTTCTTTAAGGATTTTACTAGCCTGGTGCCCAATATCCCTAATTCACGATTCCCTGCTCTTGGAAACGATGCTAGGTTGCCCTTTATACTCTCTGGAGAAGCGTGGACACCTGATAGAAGAATAGCCTAACCATACATCAGCAAGATATGACGTAGGCCGTTGCTCTCTCTTCTTAATAGGAGAGAGATTAATTGCCTCAATCTGATGCTATCCTTTGCAATTTGGACTGAGGAGAATGCAGAAGATCATTCAAGTAGCGGTAGGAGGATGAAGAGGAACCTCCAGAAAGAAGCATAGACAATGAAAGTTGCTGAGAAGTATTAATGCTCAAAGGGAAGGATTCAGATCAGAAGAGAGCAAAGCTGTGGTTCTGAATGGCGGTATCCCCCAAGTTTTTTTCATCCCTCCACTCCTAGCTGTTCAGTATAAGGTGACCAGGATCCCAGTAGCAGTGATACCAGTGGCTTCTCTGGCAGAGAACAATGAGAGGTACAGAGAGGGGACCCATCAGGCCAACACCACGGATTCCTAGTATTTCATGTCTGCCCAGTGTACCTCTGTTCCTTGTAACTATCACCCAAATGTGTGGCTTCTCCAACCTCTGGGGAATCACACCTCTCTGCAATTAAGATATGTAGAATCTAAAAAATACAAAAAACAAGTGGATATGACAACAAAGAAACAGACTCACAGATTTAGAGAACACACTAGTTGTTACTAGTGGGGAGAGGGAAGGGGGAGGGGCAATATAGAGATAAGGGATTGAGAGGTACAAACCATTATGTATAAAATAAGCTACAAGGATATATTGTACAACACAGGGAATATAGTCAATATTTTATAATAACTATAACTGGAATATAACCTTTAAAAATTTTGAATTACTGTAATGTCTACCTGTAACATATAATATTATACATCAATTATACTTTGATAAAAAATTTAAAAGATAAAAGAATAGTTTTAGCAATAAGAGTAGTACTATTAAAAAAAAAAAGAATAGTCGGAGCTGGTATCCTATTTGATTTTTGGAAGTCCAGTCTTTTTTTGATCCAAAGAATGCTTCTACCAATTTATTCCAGTTTAGAGAGTCCCTTCAACCAGTCATCTTCTGGTTCTCCTCATGGTAACTCAAGTTCTTTCTCTGTATCTTCTGGCTTCTCCACACTGTTGCTGATTCACCCTGACAGGACAAAGCCACCAAGGCTCAGCTAAGACCCTGCTATTGTGTTTAACGACACTTCACAGACAAATGATGGGCACAGAAAGGAATGACAGCAGAGGAAGAACAAGCAAAGAACAGGCGACTTCTTAGGGCTTCTAAAGTGTAAGGCCCACGTCCTTCCATGAGGGCACCTGGGATGTGACAATAGGGACAGAATAGGGTGGAACGGGGATGTTACATGGTCTGCCAACATGGCGCAGGGAACACTTGGCGTCCTTGAACGAAAAGTGCCTTTGTTCTTGGGCTTCCTGCCTGGAGTTTAGTTGCCCCAAAGTTTTTTGAGTCCAGTGAGAGACAGATCTATTTTCTCTCTCATCCACCACTCCTAACCTCCAGTTCAAAGCCTGCCTTCGGGAAACATAATCGTCTTCAGAGATACAGTAGGGCCTAGAATGAGGACAGACTTTTACATTGTTATGTAGAGCTGTTTGCTTCCTCACTACTTTGAATATCCCATTGTAGAATAATATTCTTTTTGGTTTTACCATCACAGAAAACCCACCAAAGTCCTTTTATTCCCCCAAATCAAAAGCAATCTGACCACGTGGTTCAAGTTAATCTTCCATTTGGAGAACTTGATAGAACGTTCACAATATTAAAATAGTAGTATTTCCCTGCCCCCTGTTCCCAGTCACCTCTGAGTACCCGGTCTTTCAAGGTTTTTGTTTTTTTTTTTAAAGAAAACACTCAAGTTTACTCTCAGCTAAAGCTTTTGATTACAAAACCAGAAAAGGCTAACTCAGATAGGTTTTTACTTTCATATTATAGAAAGCATAAAATGAGTCAATCATTTGTTTTCATTATAACTTTCAGGAAACTGAAATTCAGTCCTATAAAATGTTACTTCATTTTAGACCAAATAAAACAGTTGTCTTTTCACACTGATGAATTTCCTCAACCTTTTCCTAAGGTTTGCCCACTTTGCCCACAAGTGCTATGTTTCAAAGGAAGAACACTTTTAAGCTATCTATAATGATTTCTCAATTTTTACCTTATAGAATATTGCAATGCGTTCTGCGTGAGAAGCTTATATTCTATTTACAAAGAAAAAGATCTGTAACTTTATGCTTTGCTTGAATGTTATAGAAAACAATACTCAAGTGTCCATGAAAATGTTACTCAGGAATTTCTAAAGCGTTCCAAAAGTGATCACACACACACACACACACATGCATGTGCATGTACACACTCATTTGTGTAACATGGGATGAGGTTTTTGAAGTAACCCAGATGAATTTTCTCCTCATGATAATTCAGATTCTTTCTCTGTATCTTCTCTGGCAGTATTGCTACAAGAAAATAAGTACAGTTGCTGCCAGAAAAAGAGGAGGCTATGATGTAGCAGCCTTGGTAAACAGGGTAGGGAAGTAGAAAGTGTGGAGAGAAAGGACAGGAAATGAAAAATGGGCAGAAATATAGATGTGATTGTCCTTCCCCCTTAGCGGTTAATCTTCAAGGGTTGGAGAGCAGATATACTGAGATACTTTCTGAAGAACCCCAAACATGGCATGTCTCAGAGAAGTTCCACACGCAGCCTAGGGGAGCGTATTAGAGAGCCTTGACAGAAGAAGGGTCTAGATGGATGGGCCCTGGCTTCCCATGACCTTTATGTGCCATGTGGAGGTCTAAAGTTCCTGATGACCTTGTGAGGAATGCAGAAGTGTGGAGAGAACTGTGGGTCAGAGATGCCCTGGGACCAGGTAAACCCCCTTCCAAGCAGAAGATCCAAAAGAGGTGAAGCAGACCCTAAAAACTGATAGATTTTTCAGCAAGTGTGGTGAGAGGTTCAAGTTGGATATAAACTTGAAAAGTAAATGAATTTACTTTAAAAGTAAATGAATGTAAAATTTAAAAGGAATGTAAAATTCCCTAGGTTCCAAGTTCTCAGCATTTTCTGGAACCTTTGCATCCATTACAAAACATGGCTTTTCCTCTCAGGAGGAGCTTGTGACCCAGTGAAGGAGATACATGGGTAAACAAATCCAATGCAGTAAGTGACACAACGGAGGCAGGTTCAAGGTGATGGGGAAGCATGGACGAGAACTAAATGGACGGTCCCCTCAGAGCGGGTGAGGAGACCTGCTCTGATGGGTGAGAGTTTTCAACATCCACCATGTACTAACAGGCCTCCCTGTGGAATTTGTGCCAGTTACGTTCCCTGAAATCTCTCGCATATCAAACATCATCTCCTTCATGAAGATTTTTCTGATCCTTCCAACTAGATTTGATTTCTCTTGTCTCTTGATTTTCATGGCATGTCCGCTTAATCTCTCTCCTTGTTTTATACCTGTTTGTATACTTACCTTGTCCTGTCAACTACATTTTATGTTCATCCCTGTGTTGCCACATTCCTGTACCCGTGTATTAGACACTCAGTAAATGTGACGTTCCAGTGAATTGAGTAGTCAATAAATAAATGGAGAGGCTAGGTTTAGAAAAAATCAAGTCTAAACCTACTAAATGATGTGCTCTCCGAAGACAAAGTTTATGCCTTCTTCACCTTTTTTCCCATAATTTAGCACAATTCCTGGCAAACAGCAGGTGCTCAGTGAATGCTTGTTAGGACTGAATAGGAAAGTTGTAAAGATAAACGGAGTTAGAAGTGGTTCTGCAGAAGGTTTCTGTTTGAAGCTTTCTGGAAAATTCTCCTTTCAGATGCCATAGACTTTAGTCAGATTCTTTAGAACTGTTACTCTTCACAGGTGCTGACCAATATCTCTGTGACAAATGTCAGGTTGTAGGTAATAGTGAAATAGCAAGACTAGAACATATAAATTAGAAGGTTTAATGTTGAAACTCTGATTTTGCCCCTTCCCTGTCCATCTTCTTCAGTCTTGGCAAGGGGATATTGGATACATGCATCGTGCAAGACGGATGCCAGCTCATCTCATGTACAGTAAGTGCCCTACCTACGAACCTTCAAGTTGTGAACTTTCAAAGATGCGTACGTGTGTTCTCATGTCCAAGCACGTAAGTTAGTTCACGTGTCTGGTGTACATTGTCACGTGCATGCATCCTCTACAAGTGGTTGTGCCTTTGTGTACTTTACAGTACGGTATAGAGTACAGTATCTTTATTTTAAGCCCAGAAGCTGTGCCATCAACGTCAGGCGTGAGTGAAATTGCAGCTTGCCCTCCGTCTCCTATTACTGACGATCCTTCAGCTCTACCATCTCCCACCTCCTCTCCCTCCTCCAGAATATAACTCTTCTTGCCTGTTCACTCGATGCCAGACCCTGGATGCCAGCTGTGGTACTGCACTGCTGTACTTTTCAAGGTACTGTACTGTAAGATTAAAAATGTTTATTTTTTGTGTTTGTTTTTCATATATTATTTGTGTGAAAGTATTATAAACCTATTACAGTACATTACTATATAGCCGATTGTGTTAGTTGGGTACGTAGGCTAATTTTGTGCTCTCAGAACAGAACTTGTTCGTATGTAGGGGACTTACTGTACTTGTAGTGTCACAGGGGGTTCTCACAATCTGTCTATGAGGTAGGTGCTATTGTCCCCATTTTTCAGATAAAGAAAGAGACCCAGAAATTTTAAGGCACTCATCAAAGGTCACACAGCTGGTGAATGGGAGCACCATGATTGAGCCCTAATTTGTCTGATACCAAAGCACACATCTTGTCTTGATGAACAAATTAAGTCTTGATGGAGACAGGTCTCTGGAGATACAGGTTTAATTGGGAGATACAGTTGGGTCCAATTCTTCTGACTTACTCTGGTGATCAAAATTGGTCTATTCCAGCCTAAATCAGGTCAGAAGGAGATGATAGAGCTTGATTATACCAAGGGAGAAGGGACCCAGGATGGTAAATTGACGGGAATATTGGATGTAGCGAAACCTTTGAAAATAGGGTGAGAAGGATCTATTTGCATGTTTAAGAGTGGAATGCAAGAGAGAGACACTGATGAACAAGATATAAGAAAAGATTCAGGAATATCGCTACAGTCAATGGCCCTCATTAACACAAACATTCCCTACAAATATGTCTGATGTGTAAGTTTCTCCTTCATTTTATGCCACTAGTGACATAATTAGGTAATAAAGAAGTATTTGCTTGAAAATAGGGAGAAAGAAAAACAATTAACTTAGATGTTTTCATTTTAAAGAAGTCTGTTAAAATAAAAAGCTTTATATTTCTCAAAGTAAAGCAGCATAATACTGTCACCTCTACTTGAATATAGCTATCTTTACCCAGTGATTGTCTATAATTTCTCCATTTACGATTCTATCCTTTTTCTGGCATTTACTAAACACAATCATGTGAGCTATTGTCTGTAACTTACAGATACTACTCTTAAAGAAAACAGAATTTCAAATAATATATTAATGGAAAATTATATATATTAGCAGGTTTTTTTTTTCAGTTAAAAAGATTCTTCATACAATCAATCAGATTAAAAAAACCAAGATACAGACGTAGAGAATGTACTTGAGGACACAGTGGGGGGAAGGGGAGGCTGGGACGTAGTGAGAGGGCAGCCTTGCCACATATACACAACCAAATGTAAAATAGATAGCTAGTGGGAAGCAGCCGCATAGCACAGGGAGATCAGCTTGGTGCTTTGTGACAACCTAGAGGGGTGGGATAGGGAGGGTGGGAGGGAGGCTCAAGAGGGAGGGGATATGGGGACATCTGTATGCATATGGCTGATTCACTTTGTTGTACAGCAGAAACTGATACAACATTGTAAAGCAATTATACTCCAATAAAGATGTATTAAAAACAAACAGATACCCTAGGGCAAATATTCTGAATCTGGATTCATAAATGCTATTCCAAGAGATCTACGTACTTTGTGAAAATGCATTAAAAATGTGAAGTGTAAAGAATGTATTTTTAAAAGTCAATAGAGCGACTTCCCTGGTGGTGCAGTGGTTAAGAATCCTCCTGCCAATGGAGGGGACATGGGTTTGATCCCTGGTCCGGGAAGATCCCACATGCCGCGGAGCAACTAAGCCCATGCGCCACAACTACTGAGCCTGAGCTCTAGAGCCCACAAGCCACAACTACTGAGCCCTCGTGCCACAACTACTGAAGCCTGCATGCCTAGAGCCCATGCTCCGCGATGAGAGAAGCCACTGCAATGAGAAGCCTGCACACTGAAATGAATAGTAGCCCCCGCTTGCCGCAACTAGAGAAAGCCGGCACGCAACAACGAAGACCCAACACAGCCAAAAAATAAATAAATTTATATATTAAAAAAGTCAATAGAGTCTTTAAATCTCAGGTACAAAAAGTGGAACATAATTTTCCTACGGTAAAATTAACTTAGAAGCACCCATTTGTACTCAGAAACAGAAAACTTCAGTTAGTTTTCTTAGTCCTATCCAGTCACCTAAACCAAGTCTATCCTGGTTTAAAACTTACCCCGTTTAAGATACTGCTGCTCCCTCTCTTCCTTCTCTCTCACCTCTGGGGCAGCTTGTTAGTCCAGGGGAGACTTATGAAGCATCATGATGTTGGGAGACATGTCTGGGTGTTGATGATCTCTCCTCTCATTTTCTGCAGAGATGACTTGGCCTCTGTTCCCCAGGTGTGAGTGACACATGACATTGCTCTAGGGCACAGCCACTGACTATTCTGAGGTCATTGCTTTGGCCCCATGCCTGCTCTGTGCAATGCCACAGAATGGTAGCCATGTCTGTGCATACCAGTCAACAGGACACTCTTAGTCCTGTGTCTGTTTACCCTCCTCGGTGGCCTTTTCCATGTCCCGTTGGCTCTCTTTCCCACTAACTTCCAGGCCTCCTGCAGCTCACAGGCACCCATTCATCACCACTCAGTCACCATGAGAAAGTCCAGGGGGCTGGAAAGGCTGTAACCCTCAGCCCTTAAGGATCTAGGTAAGGCAGACTACCATTTACACTCCCACTTTACATCCTTGTGTTCTGGGTTCTTCTCAAGACTGAGATTTTCCAAATACGTCAATGGGAAAACTGGATACAAATTTCTTTACTCTTCGGCTCTCTTAACATAAAGGGGAAATCTCTATCTCACCTCTACCCCGAGACCCTTTCTGGAGTTTGATGCAGTGCATGTCTGTTAGGGGGTGTATGGTGTCCCCCGTCCCCTGCAAATTCATATGTTGAAGCCCTAACCCCAGTACCTCAGAATGTGACAGTCTATTTGGAGATAGGGTCTTTACAAATGTGATCAACTTAAAAGGAAGCTGTTAGGATGGGCTCTAACCCAGTCTGGAGGTGTCCTTCTAAGAGGAGGAAATTTAGACACAAAAAGAGACACCAGAAGTGCTGGCACACAGAGAAAAGGCCATGTGAGGACACAGAGGTAGGTGGTCATCACCAAATTAAGGAGAGAGGCCTCAGGAGAAACCAGCTCCGCTAGCATCTTGATCTTGGGCTTCCAATCTCCAGAACTGTGAGAAATAAATTTCTGTTGTTTATGTCAGCTAGTCTGTAGTATTTTGTTGTGATAGTCCTAGCAAATGAATACAACATCCTTCTCCACATTGCAGCTTCTAACAGCTCTGTCTTCTTTCCTTACCTCTACCTCATTTGTATCTCACTCAGGGCAGGAGTGGGGGGGAGGGGAACTCTTTCCCCAAGTTCCCATAGGCTTCGGCACTCCCCACCCCTAACCAATGTTTTGACTTAACTGGGCATTTTGAATCTTTTGTTGACGAATCTGGAGTCTTTGTTTCACTTGTTCAAATGGGGTTGATTGGAGGAAGCCAAAAGAAACATGTTTGAAGTTCCAGCTCTCAAATAAATATGTCATATATCATCCCACTACAAATATGTGCGCATCCAAACACGTATATATAGGATGGATAAACAACAGGGTCCTACTGTAGAGCACAGGGAGCTGTATTCAATATCCTGTGACAAACCGTAATGGAAAAGAACATGACTGAGTCACTTTGCTGTACAGCTGAAATTAATACAACATTGTAAATCAACTATACGTCAATAAAATTAAAAAAAATATGTGTGCATCTGCTCAAGATTTTTCTGGGGAAAGTCCACAGCTCTCTTCAAATTCTCAAAGGCGTTTCTGACCAGAAAAATGTTAAGATTCCCCATCTGATTATATTTGAAATGTGATTCAATTTCAAGTACATGATTTATATACATTTTAGAAATAACTATTATGTAAATGAGAGAGCAGAATGTTTATCTTTGATAAATGTAAATGATATCACACTTATTTCCTTCAGTTAAAAAAATCTCTTATTTGCCATGAAAAAAGGAGCTAAAGTAAACTGTCTGTGAAATACTTGATTCCATCCTCCTGCTCATCTAGTCCCAGGTCAAGAGATCATAAAATCATCCTGTTACTTTTACTGGGACCAGCATCTTAGGGCACCACCATCAGCAAGAGGCATTCTCCATCACTCAGGATTTAAACATGCATATGCGTTCGCAGACACAGATGTCATGGCACGTTATATTTCTCCTTCCCACCTCCTTCTGCCTTTTGTGCCATTATTCACAGAACAACAAGGATTCAGAGATGATAGCAGTCAGGGGAGAGGATCAGGAACTCCTTCCCATGTTCTGGGAAGTTTTCCTTCCCTTCCTGCCTCAGCCCACCACTATTATCCATCTGATTGCTACAGTAGCTGCTATGGGAATGCAACTTGACCGTGATCCCCTCGCCATGGTTGTCTGGACCGGAGTTTGACAGCCAATCGTGGTACTTCCTTGAGAATTTGGAACTGGTCCATAGGTCATGAAGTTCAAGATCTGTGAGTAACCACGTAACTCAGGGCACACCAGAGAAGCAGAGAAAGTCGTGTATGTGGAGAGAAAGGGAAGGAGGAGAGAGGGAAAGGATGGAGCACGTAGGGTAGTGGGAGAAAAAGGAGAGATAAAGTCCTTAACGCATGTCCCTGTTTCCAAGTTGTCACTGATGCCCAGTTGCATTCCTGTCCTCGAGTTCCATGGATAGCCAGGTATCTTTATACTAGTTCCCCCCTTTAACTTAAGTTGGGTACAATTCCTATTTTTAATAACATCTCCCATGAGTTTCATTACACACACACACACACACACACACACATACACACATATGCACACACAAGAGATGATCTTAGCCTAGGAATATCAAAACTTAACTCTCCCGATGTCAGGGGATA